AATGATGTACAGGGGGGGGGCAAAAAAAGAGTCACTTTGATTATGGCGCATATCATCAAACTTTTCGTCGCAAAGGATGCCGCTGTTATTGGGAGTTATACGGCAAATTATTCCTTAGATGTACCCCCATAAGCAGAATCAGGCCCACCTTCGCTGCGTCTCCAGAATATGACGTCATCTGTCATCACCGTCGAGCTCAAGGAGGCCTACCATAATCGCTCCATTCTGAAGCTGCTACATAATTTCTTCAATCGGATAACTGGTGAATGGCTTCTTAGGAGACACTAGCTCTGACTATGCAAAATGGCTTTTGACCAGCGTTTCAGAGACGTCGTAATCGTCTATGGTTTCTCGACGACCTCGTTGAGCTCGTACCGCGAACCATGTTTCCGTGGGAAAATCTTCTGATGTCGTCGGTGTAGAAAGCCCCTATGTAATTTTTTTGACAACAGAATGTGCTTTTCAAAATGCAATTAAGCTCATTACCTTTGCCTCACTGTTTATTAGTTGTTAGGTATTACTAAGAATAGCTATGCAAAGGAGTTTATTTCTGCTGAAAATTGTCTGATATTGGCGAAGAACGGGTGTTCATGGTTTTCTGACGCACCTCCGTTTGCATCCACGACTTGTGCAGTTCCAAAGGCATTTGAAGCCCATCGGGCAAGCTAGTTTACAAGGTTGTCCGCTAAAGTGCAGCAATGCTTGGATTTATCGATAACCAGATAAAGTTTTCGGACGATTCTGCTCATATTATGTGCATGTGAAGCTGTTGCAGCAAGGCCGTCCCAACCAGGGTCAACCGTCACGTTCGAACATTTTCGGGATTTTCGCGACCTCGATTTTTTTCCCATTGGTTTTTGAGCAGCACATGCGAGTTTTTGAGCTTTCAGCAATGATAACTTCCTTCAAAGAGCTTGTTGGAGAGGGATAAAGACATTTTTGAAGACTACGAGATTTCTGCTTCTTCATGTATTTTACAGTTGTCTGGAAGAAGCGTCCCAAAAAATTAGGTCCGAAGAACTTTAATTTCAGCCCCGAGAAGTCAAACCTTTCATAGGGATGCATTCAACTGTTCTTTATTCCTCAAGAAACACCGTAATTTGCCTAAAACTGTCTCTCTGTGCATAATAAATCGAATCTAATGCGGTCTGCACAAAGCAATTCTTGCCCTCGGATACGCCACGCACGC